TTGCGCTTGATGAGCGCGGTCATCACGCCGCCCGCCGTCTCCAGCCCCAGCGACAGCGGCGCCACGTCCAGCAGCAGCAGGTCCTGCACGTTCTCCGACTTGTCCCCCATCAGGATGGCCGCCTGCACCGCCGCCCCGTAGGCCACCGCCTCGTCGGGGTTGATGCTCTTGTTCAGGTCGCGCCCGTTGAAGAAGTCCTGCAGCAGCTTCTGCACCTTGGGGATGCGGGTGGAGCCGCCCACCAGCACCAGGTCGTGGACCTGCGCCTTGTCCAGCTTGGCGTCCCGCAGCGCCTTCTCCACGGGCTCCAGCGTGCCGCGGAACAGGTCCGAGCACAGCTCCTCGAAGCGCGCGCGCGTGATGGACGTGTAGAAGTCGATGCCCTCGAACAGGGAGTCGATCTCCAGGCTGGCCTGCGTGCTGGACGACAGCGTCCGCTTGGCGCGCTCGCACGCCGTGCGCAGCCGCCGCACCGCGCGCTTGTTCTGGCTGATGTCCTTCTTGTGCTTGCGCTTGAACTCCTCCACGAAGTGGCTCACCAGCCGGTTGTCGAAGTCCTCCCCGCCCAGGTGCGTGTCGCCCGCCGTGGCCTTCACCTCGAAGATGCCGTCGTCGATCGTCAGGATGGACACGTCGAACGTGCCGCCCCCCAGGTCGAAGATGAGCACGTTGCGCTCCCCCCGGCCCGAGCGGTCCAGCCCGTAGGCGATGGCGGCCGCCGTGGGCTCGTTGATGATCCGCAGCACGTTCAGGCCCGCGATCACGCCCGCGTCCTTGGTGGCCTGGCGCTGCGAGTCGTTGAAGTAGGCGGGCACCGTGATCACCGCGTTGCTCACCGGGTGGCCCAGGTAGGCCTCGGCGATCTCCTTCATCTTGGTCAGCACCATGGACGAGATCTCCTCGGGGTAGAAGGCCCGGCTCTCGCCCTTGTAGGACACCAGCACCTTGGGCTTGTCGCCGTCGTTCACCACCTGGAACGGCCAAAGCTTCATGTCGGCCTGCACCACAGGGTCGCCGAACTTGCGGCCGATCAGCCGCTTCGCGTCGAACACGGTGTTCTGCGGGTTCAGGGCCACCTGGTTCTTGGCGGCGTCCCCGATGAGCCGCTCGGTGTCCGTGAAGGCCACGTAGCTGGGGGTCGTGCGGTTGCCCTGGTCGTTGGCGATGATCTCCACCTTGCCGTGCTGGAACACGCCCACGCACGAGTAGGTGGTGCCCAGGTCGATGCCGATCGCCGTGTTCTTGGCCATGGCGCCGCTCTCCGCCGCCGCGGGGCTTCCGGAAGGCTGCGCGCCGCTGGGAGGCTGGTCCTGGCCGCGGGTCGGGGCCGCCGCTCCGCTGCTGCTCTCCCGGGGGAGTCCCGCTGCGCTCTCCTCCGCTGCGCTGGAAGCCGCGCTGGAAGCCGCGCGGTCCCGCCGCTCTCCGCGCTGCTCTCTCCGCCCGGAGCCTCCGCCTGGGTCGCAGACCGCGTCTGGAGCCCTGCGCGCCGCCCTGCGCCTTTATGCAGCGTCCTCCGGCCCCGCCCGCGCCCGCCCCGCGCCAATCGGCGAGCCCGGGGAGGCCGCGGCGCCCGGAATCTTCCAGCAGTTTCGCGTCCGCTGGGGCTTCCCCGCCTCCTGTGCGTAATCGCTGTGGAAGGTGCCGCCCGCGCCCAGAACTCTCCAGACGCTTCTGGGGTTCGCTGGAGAGGAGGGGCTCCCGACGGGGAGGGCGGCGGGAGGCGCGGGTGCCGCTGTTGCCATGGCGACGCGCGGTCGCGGGACCTCTGGGTGAAGCTGGGGAGCGTCCGCTCCTGGGGGTGCTGGGCGGGGGGCGGCTTGCGGGAGCAGCGAGGGGGTTTAAGGTCCAGAAACCTCCCCCACGGGATGGCGGACACAGAAAGGTCCTCCAAGAAGGCGGGATAACGCTTGCTCAAGAAGACTGTGATTGGGTCTTGGCTGCGAGTGGCGGCCTGGGGGCCGCCTGAGGAATGTTCGCCTGTCTGGGGTTTTTTCCCCATCTTAGGTTTGAAAAGGAGAAGAGAAGAGATCATGCAGTGAAGTTCACTTGCGTTGCTGTTTTTACCTCACAGTCAACGGACAGGGTGCAGTAGGTCGCCTTGCGGAGTTCTCAAGGTTTTCGAAAGAAAATCAGTGTGTAAACACTAGGTCCCTCGCGTTCGGAGGACCCGTGGCCCAGATAAGGAAAGTGTCCCAGGAGAAGGGAGGGCAGCGCTCAGTGCACCGCGCCGCGGCCACAGCCCCTCCCCCTGCCTCAGGCTTTAGCCTGGCATCAGGAAGAGAAATAGAAAAAGAAAACTTTCCACAGAAGTTGGCAGGGTGTGGTGGCTGAGGCAGGAGGACTGCAGCGAGTCCAAAGCCAGCCTAGGTTACAGGGGAAGACCCCGTCTCAAAAGAGTAAATAAATAATAATAATATTAAAAGAATGTCGAGAATGCCCGCTTGGCTTTTCCTTCCCAGAGCTCCTCGCGGCACAGTCCTGCTTTCTGCTCTGGCTCTGGTGGCTGCAGTAAGGCTGGGGTTAACTTAGGGGCCGTTGGCTCTTGTGTCTGGGCCTCCGCCCTCGCCAGTTCACCTCTCTGAGATGGAGAGGCAGGGTGCTCTGTCCTCTGATAGCATCCCACCCAACGGTGCTTTTAAAGTGAGCTTTTGGGGGACCCGCCTGCTCGTTTACCAGGTTAGCCTTTGGTCTAAGACGTCGTGCCTCGTCTACCTCCTGTGGCGATTGAAAGCACATTTAGTGATCCTCTTCTCCCTCCCTGGCCCTCCTCCTCCTCCGGTGTAGGAAGGAAAGACGCCTGTTAGCTGCCTGAAACCACAGTGCGAGGCTGCTGGGTGATGCGGGGCACGATCCCCCTGCCGCAGAGGTGCTGGCGGGGGATCACAGTTTGAGGCCAGCCTGGGCTACATTAGAGCCTGTCTTCTGGGATCAGAGGAGATCCGGCTGTTCGGGGTAAGAGAACAATGAGGGTGCATCGGAGCCTGGTTCTGAGCTAACAGCCCACAGCAGGAAGAGACTATCCATTGTTACACACTTGTCTCTGCTTTTCTTTCTTTTTTAATTTTTTTCGTTACTATGGTCTCATGTAGCCCAAGTTGGCCTTGAACTTACTGTGTAGCCAAGCCAGGACTTAAAGTCTTGCTCCCCCAGCCTTGACCCCCAAGTGCTGTAATTCCATCCCAAGGAAGTGCTCCAGGCCACCCTCAGTCCCTGAGTGTAACTGCAGAGCAGTTAGTTTCTGGAGAGAGCCCTGCCTGTTTGGCATCTTCCTGTGTGTGCGTGTTTGTATGGAGATTTCTCTTCTGGGAGTCTGAGGGCATTAGTAGTTTGTGCTGTGGTTTGCTCATCTCAGCCAGTGGCTTGAAGATGCTGCTGCAGAGATGCCCTGTGTGTGTGGGAAGGTTGGCCGGCTGCAGCCTGTTCTGCAGTCGGACCTAATGAATTCAGTCCTAATGAATCACCACCCTGGTTAAACTGGTTAAACGTCAGGGATTTTTCCACTACTCTGTGCAAAGGCTAGGGACTCCTCCAAGAGGCCCTGTTAGCTGCCTGGTCCCTTCCAGAGGCCTTCAGACTTCCACCCCCCAGAGGCTGCTCACCCCCACCTGTGTCCAGGAACAGCCCTTCCTGTACTCGTGCCCTGGGGATCAGCAGTGCTCAGAACACTCTACAAAAGAAGAAACGAGGTCTCATTTTGTAGCAAAGGCTAGTCTGTGACTCCAGGACGGCTGACCTTAAACCCAGAATGATCCTATTTGCTCCACACAAATAGGATCCACACAAGCATTAGGATTAATAAAAAATGGCACCGTGCCCAGCCCACTTCCCCACAAGAAGATATTTGAAATTTATCTGTCCTTTCAGCCTGGGTCCTTCTGGGGTAGAGGCATAGTATAGGCTTAATTGCTGGGCGGAGGGTCTGGGAGAAGCCCAAGCTGCTGAGGGTGTTGCTTAGGAAGGAAACATGCTTTAACATCCAAGATGGCCTGGATTACACACACACACACACACACACACACACACACACACACACACACACGAACCCCAAGAGAGCTTTGGTTCACTCTGGAATTAGGTTTTTACTCAGTTCCATATTTGGAAGTAACAGGATTCCAGGTTCTGAAGCTGGAAGGGCTGTGAAGGACTTTTAAGGGGTGGGGAGGGGGGCAGCAGGGGCAGGAGAGTGTGCCAGAACACTCGGGGAGAGAGAACCTTCCTCAACCCAAGGCTCTGGCTTCCTCTCTCTCGCTCTTTATTGCAGTTTCTTGGAACAGTCCTGTTTTCTCCTCAGCCCTCTTGTTTTTAAGAGGACACAGTTCTAGGCGCATCCGGAGGGACCCAAAGGCGCAAGTGAAGTGAATTACACAGGCAGGTTTGTTGTTTGTTTCTTTCATTTTGAGATAATCTCACCGTGTAATCCAGGCTGGCAGGAACCCACCAGGCTTCTCTGGCCTGCTGTGACAGGCACAAGTGCCACACCCTGCTGAGGCAGGCATTCTTAAGCAAACTGCAGAGCCCTTGGTGACAGGGGCGCTCTGGAGATTTCCAGCAGAGTGGAAAAACACTCCGGAGAGGGGAAGACCAGTGTTTGTGTCTGGAATCTACCTCTCTGTCAAGGCTGGGTTGTTTTGTTTTGTTTTGGTGGTTTTTTTTTT